CCCGGATGTAGTTTACTCCTCAGTCAATCTATTTTTTTTTGTCTTTCTAAATAGAATTTCAGCCGATTTACTGGTTTTCAGGTTCCCAGTTGTGGCTTCAAGAAGTGGTGGGATGTCGCCATTCTAGAAGAGATTGAAATGTTAAACGACACCCAAGAAGCCATGCGGTCTTTGTTTGACACCATTCTCTCGAAACTCAACCAGTTGGAGTCCAAGGTGGCATCCCTTGAGCCCGCTATGGATAAGACGAAAGGTTGAAGAAGATTTGATGTGGTTGGGAGTTCTTATGTGAGCGTGTTTTCCTTTGTTCATCATGTTTGTTTTTGTTCTCCTTTGTAATATCCCACAACTATTTCGAATAAATCTCATGTTATGTTTCTTATTCAGATTAAGTTGTCCTTGTTGTCCTAAGCAAAAGAAAGAAAGTTGTCCTTATTGTCCCTGTTGTCCTAAACATAGTCGTCCTTGTTGTCTTTATTGTCCATGTTGTCCTAAACATAGTTGTCCTTGTTGTCCCTGTTGTCCCTGTTGTCCTAAACTACATAGTTATAGTTGAAACACTTCTCCTAAAACAAAATAAATCGTCAACCCAAACAAAATAAACATACTTGTCCTTGTTGTCCTAAACAATAGAAACGTGTCCGAAACCCAAACACCTAAACAAAAGAAATAAACCACACAATCTACTTCTTCGCTTTTTTGGTCTTCCCCCCAGAGACAAAAGGCGACTGCTTGTACTTCGATGTCTTCCGGGGCCTCTTAGTTCCAGCTCTACCGCCTTTGGATGAGGATGCTCTACCGCCTATGGATGAGGATGCGCCTTTTGATGATGATGTGGATGGTGGTGGTGCGGATGATGCCCGAACATCCCAGTACATGCATTCTAATTCCTCCGACGAGTCAACGATCTTGATCTTGTACCGGTTGCTGGCTAAAACCACCCTCACTATTCCTTGGCGCCATACATCACGATGCAACACCTCCACACGATCCAACAACGAGAAGGAGGATTCTGGTGGATGTGCCGGTGCGCTTGGAGGTGTCGGTGCGCTTGGAGGTGCTGGTGCGCTTGGAGGTGCCGGTGCGCTTGGAGGGGTCCCTCCTCCTGCGGTCCGAGGAGATGAAACTGATGCCAGTGCGCTTCGAGGGGGGGCCACTGCGGGTCGACCAGAGGAGACTGGTGAGGAGGCGGGTGGTGGAGATGATGGGCGGGGAAGCACTAGCTGTTCGAGGGTCGCAACCCTTTTCTCTAACAGGCCCACTAAACCCTTAAGCTCCAGGATTGATGTCGTCTCAGGTTCAGATACTTGAGGAGCCTCGGAAGTGAATCCACCTCGATGTCGAATGTTTAACTCATACAAAGATCTCCAGAAGATCTTCTTCTTCTTCACCGTGAGATGATCCATCCAACTCTCAACACCCACATCAATGACCCCTATCCCATCATCATAGCCAGGATCTAATATCCGACGCAAAAGTCTTTCTTCACCCAAGTTTTCAGGCTTCAAGATGCTATGAATATCCTGCCAATATAAACAAACACAAATTACTGAACCAATTGTAACAACATTGACATAGTTGTACTAGTTGTCCTAATTGCCCCACGACCCATAATTCTTATTTTTATACATAGTTGTACTAGTTGTCCTAATTGCCTCACGACCCATAATTCTTATTTTTATACTTAGTTGTACTAGTTGTCCTAATTGCCCCACGACCCATAATTCTATTTTTTCCATAAGTTATACCAGTTGTCCTTAAACCACTAACTGCAAGTCAATCAGAGTTCTACCCTAACCAAAACCAGCAAACACTAACCTTTGCACTTGTTCCGATTGCCGCATTTATATCATCCAACGGAATGCCTTTCATGCAAACTTCAGTGAACTTGTGCTTGCACATCCTTGGACAGTCTTCGAGGGCAGGTACAGCTTCTCGGAATTTGCGGCCAAGGCTAGGAATACACTCAAAAGCAAGTATCTACACAAAAAGTAAAAAAAGATCATTATTAAATTATAAAAAATTATGCATTATAAGAAATGGTAACTATGAATTACCTGTAGAGGTAGAATGAAACCAGAAAGAGGACATTCAGCTTTTTTGTCTTTCATGCTGCCATCAAACTTCGCCATCACACGCCTGATCTCCTTCATCATGATATCAAATGTGTAACGCCCCCAAGGGAACGTTTTACACACGTTCAAATCGCTGACAACTCGGAGAAGGAAAGGATCAATGTTACCATCACCCTTGTATTGCGCCTTCAATTACTTCAAACTTAGTTGTCCCTGTTGTCCTAGTTGTCCATACGCACCTAATTACGAAAAACCAAGTTGTCCCTGTTCGCTAGATGTTATATACAGTTGTCCTAGTTGTCCGGATATTGCCTACTTATGTAAAGCTAACTATTCTATACAGTTGTCCAAGTTGTCCAGGTGTAACAAGAATTCATTTCAAAATATAGTTACCTCTAAATCTCCCTCTGATTCTTCTTGCTCTGATTGGTCATGTGCTTCTTCCTCTGAATTTTCTACCTCTTCTCCTTCTTCCTCTTCTCTTTCTTCCTCTTCTCTTTCTTCCTCTTCTCTTTCTTCCTCTGAATTTTCCCCCACTTCTCTTTCTTCCTCTGAATTTTCTCCCTCTTCTCTTCCTTTCCCGGAATTTTCTTCCTCTTCTCTTTCTTTCTCTCCTTCTTCCTCTTCTTCTGCATCTTTCTCGGATTCCTCTTCTGCTGCAGTATCTTTTTCCGATACCTCTTCCGCTACCTCTCCTTCTTTCTGGGATTTCTCCGCCGGTCCCTCTTTCTCGGGTTCATCTTCCTCACACTCTTCCATGGCGGCTTTATTCGTGGTTTCCGATACTCGTCGTTCTTCTTCCATGGGTGCGGTTTCATGTGCTTGACTGGTGGTTTCGGAAATCGCTGCTTCTCCTTCTATGGGTGTTGGTGCCGCTTCATTGTTCGTTTCCAGAACTGGTGGTTCTTCTTCCATGGTTGTTGGTGCGGTTTCCGCCGCTTGATTTGTGGTCTCGGAATTCGCTTCTTCTCCTTCTAACACTCCTTCTTCTTCTCTCGGACTAACTTCAGGGGGTTGTTCATCAATCGCCGGTTCCTCTTCTCTCCGAGTTGTTTCGGGGTCTTCATCTCCTCTGGCTGCTTCTTCACTGCTATTGGGTAATTTGGGTTCTTCGGAATCGTAGATCACCCCGCCGTAACGAGTTTTAACCATAGCTATCGCCGATGATGGAGAAGAAAGGAATGAGCGAATTAGGAGTTAGGGTTTAGGGTTAACAAGAGAGAGTTATATAGTAGAGGGAAGAGGAAGTTACGATTTTGGAGAAATCAAATCGATTAGGGTTTGTGAGAGGATTTTCGGTTTCTTCGTGAGATTGGGAAGTTGCAGGAATTTCGGAGAAGAGGGGAGCGGGAGTGAGTGAAGGAGTTAGCCGTTTCGCGAGAGAAGAGAATCGATTTTGATCGATTCGGTCTGAGTTGGTTTTTAGTTGAACCAAATCAACTTCGGTTTAAGGTTTTCAATTTTCTGTTTTCGATTTTTAATTTAATTTCGGTTTATTTTTTTTAATTAAATTGAATTATTATCGGGTTAACGGGTGAGCTTCATTCGGGTGGATTTTATCCAGGTATTTTCGTTAATATTGACACTTCTAAGGATAATCGTAGAATTTCCCACCCTTTTGTAATTAAAAAAAATACAAAAAAAATTAATTAATAGAATTATGGTTTTTCGGCCTTTTTCTTCTTTTCAGCTTTTCAGCCGAGCGCTCTGTGTGTGGTGAGAGGCGGAGGAGAGAAATGGCGGCGTTGATGAAGTCAGTCACCGTCCGAGCTCTGAAGTTCTCGCCGGCGGTGAAATTCAGGCTGACCCGATGCGGCGGAACACCAGAACTCTCTATTCGATCAATCTCTTCCGTCATGTCGCCACCGTCAAAAGCCATCGTGTACGAACAGCACGGCTCTCCCGATTCTGTCACCAGGTTCGTTTATTGTATCTTGGACTTCGTTCTACGGTTACTTTGAGCATATACGTACACGGAATCTCCATTTTTTTTCCTTTTCGGCGACGACAGATTCGTGAATCTCCCGCCGGTGGAAGTAAGAGAAAACGATGTATGCGTTAAAATGCTCGCCGCACCGATCAATCCCTCTGATATCAACCGAATTGAAGGTTGGATTCTTCATTTACCTCTCTAATTCGATTGATATTATTTACATATGTTGGGGAAGAATGTCTGTTTATCACTCATGAAATCTCTTTGTGCTTAGAGAGAAACTTGTTTATATAACTTTGATTAGAGAGAAACTTGTATATAACTTTCAGTGTATGAGAGTGTCTGTAAAAGTACATAGATGATCTATATTCATCTTCTCCAATCTCGTTTTTCTCTCAAGTGTAAGAGTATAGATACTGAGTGTGATGTTGAGAAATTGAATTTGTTTAGGTGTTTATCCGGTGAGGCCTCCGGTACCAGCAATTGGTGGTTATGAAGGTGTTGGGGAAGTCTATACAGTTGGCTCCAAGGTCAATGGTCTTTCTCCTGGTGATTGGGTTATTCCATCTCCACCATCTTCAGGTGAAATCTTGATTTAGCAAGAGGAATCTTGAGTATATATGAATCTTGATTTCTCAGTGAAACAACAAAAGATGCGACAGTTTAGTGGTTTCCCTTTTGATTTGTGTAACTTGATGAAAATCTCTCTGTTTGGTAAGGGACTTGGCAGACGTATGTTGTGAAGGAGGAGAGTGTGTGGCACAAAATCGACAAAACGTGTCCAATGGAGTATGCGGCGACGATCACTGTTAATCCATTGACGGCTTTAAGGATGCTTGAAGATTTTGTGTCTTTAAACTCCGGTTTGTAACTCTATCTCCCATTTCTTGATTAACAAGTTCTCTTTACTTGCTTTTCCTGACCAACTAATACATTGAAGTAGGAGATTCTGTGGTACAGAATGGTGCAACGAGTATCGTGGGTCAATGTGTAATCCAGTTAGCTCGGCTCCGTGGCATCAGTACCATCAATATTATACGTGACAGGTGTGATATATATTATGAATCGAATAAAAGATACTTGGTTATGATTACGCACAAACAAAGCGGGTCAGGCCAAGTAAATACTGTCTTTTGCAACTGATTTATAGGGCTGGGTCGGATGATGCAAAAGAGAATCTGAAAGCTCTAGGTGCAGACGAAGTGTTTTCAGAGAGTCAACTCAATGTCAAGAACGTGAAAAGTCTTTTGGTAAGATTGTAAGTCTAAGATTTTTACAGCAGAAACTTTGAATATCCGAAGTTTACATCATATATATTTATATATATACGCTTGACATATTTGTATGTTTGGTCTAAGGGGAACTTACCTGAACCAGCTCTGGGATTCAACTGTGTTGGTGGCATTGCTGCCTCTCTTGTGCTCAAATTTCTGAGGTGCACTGAACATTTCCCTGTATGTGGACTTTCTTTAGGCTTCCCCTTGTAGCTGAAGGTTTTGTAAACATGAATATTTCAGGGAAGGAGGAACCATAGTAACATATGGTGGTATGTCTAAGAAGCCAATCACTGTGTCAACAACTTCTTTCATCTTTAAGGTAATGGATAGATCGTTCGTACAATTAAACCGGCATCAGTAATTCAGTATCCGTTCAGGATTATGGCTTTGGTTCACTGTGCTAAGGTTTGATTGTAATGCAGGATTTGGCCTTGAGAGGATTCTGGCTGCAGAATTGGTTGAGTTTAGGTAAAGTAAAAGAATGCAGAGAGATGATAGACTATCTCCTTGGGCTTGCTCGGGACGGGAAGCTAAAATACGAGTGAGTCTTTTTCTTCTCAAATAAAGATTCGATAAAGTTTACTCGGTTTACCATTTAAACCAACTGTTGGTTTCTTATTACAGAACGGAATTGGTTCCTTTCGAGGAGTTCTCTGTTGCTCTTGATAAATCTCTTGGGAAGTTAGGTAGACAACCTAAACAAGTCATCACATTCTGAAGCTTCGTTTCTTGTGAGGCGTTTAGTAAGTGTTTGCCACCTCTGATTAGTATTTAGCTATTAGTAATCTGATAATTCACAATGTACTTTTATTGTAATCTCTGTTTCTTCTTGTCTAATGTAACAGAAACAATAATAATGTTAAGACTTGAGAAACCAGAATAAATCATTATGCTCATTTTCAGAGTTGCATGATCCATCAATAAGTGTTTCCCTTTTGATAAAACAGTTATAACAGGAAATTCAAACGTAAATCATGGATTCGATAAAAACATCTTCGTTACATTATGAATCATTTGATAACCAAATTATTAGTTAACTTAAAAATAAGCACAAGTAGTATTAGTTTGAACAAACCCATTCACCATATGAAATGACATGCATATATCTCTACTCTTTATACTCTTCTTCGTCTTGTTCACGTCCTTCTCTAGATGGTCATTCATCATCTTCTGCATCTTCATCTCCAACGCTCATTACTACTGATCATTAGAGGCGTATCAGATATGGTAGTAGCATCTTTCGGATGAAACCAAGAGGACGGCCTCTCACTGGTTAAAGGCGTCTCGAAAAAGAGCCACTCCTGCATGACAAAACCAAATGCACAAAAATAACATGTGGTCAAATCTGGTATCGAGATACATTCTTTGAGAGGCAAACATAACTAGGAAGTGAGAAAGGGAAACTTTTGCACAAAGGAGTTAGACAATCGAGAAATGTATTAAGGATGCTTACACTCAGTTTATGGCCTCTACTCTGAAAATGCATGGTAAAATCTTCAAAGCTTTTGCCATCAAAACGTTCGCCATTGAAGCTTTCCCCCTCAACAATTTCACCAGCATAGAGTTCGTGACAATTACGGCACACAATACAACACCAGGCAGATTCTTCACCAGTTTCACTGCAAGAGGCCTTATTAGTTGCCTCCTGCTCCACGTTAATCTCAACTGATAATCGCCATAAGTGTACCCCAGTCAGGATAAAGAATGACGGTGTATCCCTGCTTTCGTAGTATACCGGTAAAAACCGTAAAGGGCTTCACATAACCGGTTATTAGCATTAGAGTAGCCTGGAGGTGGATTATCAAAAGTCCACTCGCACAAATCCGTCATAATGTCGAGACATTGTATGTCATCGTGTTTCAAAAGGATTCCCAAGGAAGAGATGGTCTGAAGAACATCATAAGGGGTTTGTTTTAGGTCGCCAATGGCAGTGAGGGTGAGATGATCAGTACCGACAGAGAAGCCTGACTTGTCCAACTCTTGTTTTATATATTGGGAACGACCAGACGAGCATCAGGAACGGGACAGCCGTTTATGTCCCACCACACCAACGTTTTAGAAGAGGCAAGGATGCTTACACGCTGTGCATGTTCTCTGCTTGAACCTTCAGAGGTTTTGCCATCAAAGTTGCATACTTTGCAATATGACGGACTAAAGATTCTATCATCAAGTTTGGCCTTCGTCATCTCGTTCGTATTTGTTGGATTCGTGACTTCAAAACCTAAAAAAAAAGAAAAGAAATCAATCAGAGCCAGAATTGGGAAAACAAATCGCAAGTTAGGTCTTTAATTTTTATAAGGAAAATCTTCTCAGATGAGCATCCGGAGAGAGAGATTATTCACACGGTTAGATCAAAATCATCGACCGAGAGAGAGGAAGAACAACGTCAAAATCACTTACCTCGAATCTGAAACGCCAGAGGGAACAATGGAAGGATCGATGGAGGCGACGGCGAGAGAGGAACAACGTTTTGATCGAGACTTTTAGGTCAATCAGATACTTGTGGCTGGGGCTACTTTTTTTTTATATGGGCCGACATGCGTTATAAATATATTACTACAAAGGTGTAAATAAATACAGTAAAAACTCTACAACATCTCTATTCGTCATATATTGTAGATTCAGGGAAGATTAAATTTGTAGTCATCCCTGTTCGTTTGATAGACGCCAACCACACGTTGATTTTTGGAGACGCGCGATAACTTTATCGGTGGCCACCAACCGTAACAAACTAAAAAACGGTGACTACAAGAGTCGCTGATTCTTACAGCGTCCACCGGTAACACCAAGAACATCAATAAAAATAGACGCAGCGGTATAATTTCCTTTCACTTAATTCCGTTAAGTTAACCTCTTTTGATGTCTATTTTCTGGTCGCAGAACTTAGTAGCAGCAGTGACTAAACGAACAGGAAACGAAACCCTAAAACCGTATCCGCTCGTTGGACTTTCCGTAGGTAAGAATCCTAAACCCTAAATTCGAAAAATTGATTGCTTTTCTTTGTTCCTTGTAATGCTTCAGAATTTGGAAACCCTAGCTTTCTTAACATTATTTTTTATAAGCTAGTTTTGATGTGTTATTTGCAGGTTAGTGGTATCTTCTTCTCCTATGGATTCTCGAAGTAGTGTGTCTAAGGAAAATACTAAATCAAGTAAAGGTGAAATTGAATACCACCCAGTACTTAAATATCTAGATTAATACTGTTCACTACAGATTTCTTTTTTCTTTTTTTTTTCAAACTTTGCCTCTATTTTTTTTTTTTATGTCAGTGATACGAAAGAAGGTGAAGAACTCTGAGTCCGTAGCGTTACAGAGATATAAGATTGATAGTTATGATTTCTTGGAACTTGATAAGCTTTTAGATGATGTCTACTGCTCTGTTCGACCCGTTACTGCTAACTACGATACTAGGAAAGATATGGTCAAGTTCCTCAATGCAATAGCTTTTGATATCTATGGTAACTTAACATTACTTGTAACACTTTATTTAGCTTGATTAACATCAGAATACTTTAATCTCTTTTATTTTTGTCTCCCATCAGGAGAATATGTCGATAGCATCCCGGTCTTAGAGGCGTATGGGTCGTTTGTGATGGATACTTTCTCTTCGCAGAGTGATTTGGATGTATCCATTAACTTCGGTAACGAAACATCTGAGATTTCTCGTGAGAAGAAGCTACAAATCCTTGAAAGGTTTGCCGAGAAGCTCCGCTCTCTACAGGGTAAGTTTAATTGGTATTTTTCTTAGCACTTCCATGAACTTATTATTTGCAGTAACTGTATGTGGAAATAAAAGTGACAGTTCAATATAACTTGAGTGATTTGCAAGAGTTAGCACTTTCTAGACTCAGCATAGTTTCTTAGCACTTAATTATTGTTCATAGTTTTTAGCATTTTTGGTACTATTCATGACAATTTAGCCATGGAACATATATGGAACGAATAATCATAGGGTTGGATATTTTTTTTTTACAAAAATAAGTGTTAAGTGTGTAAGAAAGTGCTAATCTGTGCAAATATGTCCTATAACATTCATAGAATGATGAATTTCATATTGGGTTTTACGTAAAACATCTTTTGTAGAACAAGGGCGTATTAGGAGTGTTCAAGCTATCTGGACTGCTACGGTGCCAATTCTCAGATTCGTTGATGAAGAGATTGCTGTTGAATGTGATTTGTCAGTCGATAGCAAAGACGGCATTTTAAGTTCACAGATCATTGAGATTATATCTCGAATTGATGACAGGTTTCAGAAACTTTGTTTGTTGGTAAGATCTTAGGTCCTATTCTATCTGTTTTAAGAACAAGATATCACTCTTTATTTTCTAAGTGGTTATAGATATGTTTAGTTGTAGTTAATAATACGTTTACTCATGTGACTGTTCTCCTATGTCAGATTAAACATTGGGCTAAAGCTCATGAAGTTAACGATACGTCACAGCAAACCCTGAATTCTTTATCTATAACGTTGCTAGTCGCTCACCATTTACAGGTATCAACTTAGCCACTCTTGTTGAACAACCACTAGTCTCTCTAATTTTCATATACTAGTTAAAATTTATACAAGCTGTTTGCTTATTATATGTAGAATTTTGACTTTGAGGATGATTAATAGGTAGCTACTATAATTGATTTTGGGGGAATACTTTAGTTTCTTTTTCATTTGTTTTATATGTTGGATGAAATTAATCTCTCAAGCAAGTTGGATAAAAATGGGTGATTTTGTTTTTTTCATCATTTTAAGGTTAAATGTAGTCATCAATATCTAATTTGTTTCTCTTATGTGTTATAACGCAGACTCAAGATCCTCCCATTCTACCTCCATTCTCTTTACTATTTAAAGGTAAATTTGTACTTCTTTTTCTAAACTGATTTTACCATTTGCGAATGTTTTTTTGTGAATTGCAAATGCTTTTGCGGGCGATTATATTAGAAAATGATCAGATTACATTTTTCGAGCTCACACAGAATCATATATTCATTTTGCTTATGTTGTTTAACGTCATGACATTAAATTGCCTCTCTTATTATTATTTTTTTTTCAGATGGTGTTGATCCTCTCAATGTTGAGAAAAGGTCACATAGTTTCTTGAACTGGGGACAACAAAATAAAGAGTCTTTGAGTAGACTATTTGTAACGTTTTTCGTCAAGGTATATTTTCCTTTTTTACCTTTATAAACCCAAAACATAATCAAAAGCAAGCTCCACAACATTGTTTTCTTTGGTTATAAACTTAAAAAGATTCTCTCTCCTACAGTTGCAATCTGTAGAATTCCTATGGGGAAAAGAGCTTTGCGTCAGTTTGCTGAATGGTCTTTGGATATCTAAGACTATAACCGGGTCCATTAAGGTAACTTCATTTCAGTAAATATTTTCATTTTTGCATTCTTTTCTTTCTGTCTTTGTTGCCTCAGATTTTGGTGTGTGGTGGTGGTGGTGTGATAGGTCTTGGATATTATAGATGTTTCTAACAATGTGGCAAGGTGCGTTACTGGCAAAGGAGCTAAAAAAGTTTACAGATGTATAAACAAAACCGTCGAAGAACTTTTTGAGTTCCTCGATGGCAAGATCAATGCAACACATCTTAGAGACAATTTGTTTACCCACCAAGCTTTTGTTGAGCCTCCTGAAGAAGAAGATCATCACGACAAAAGGGTATGCTCAGAAAGCGGCTACAGAACAAGAACTGGTCGCTGGAGAGATGAGGAGAGATGCAGAAAACTACGGGAGAAATACGCTGGAAACAGCTATGTTTTTGAAGAAGTCAGTAAAGTTCCTCGGTGTGGAATCCGTTATAAGCCCTTGGATGATGCTTGTAGACAAGTCCCATTGAATGTTCCAGAAAATGGTCATTTGGTTCAACATAGGCGGCATGATGGTGGATTTGGTGGTGCAAAAGCAATGCATGATCATGGTGAGATTGATTTACCACCGCCACCTCCACCATACGGCAGAGTTTATAGAGTTTATTGTGAGAGGTTTGGTCCTCAAAACCTTCCCGAACCTCAGTAGGGTTTTTTCTCAGTAAAGTTGAAAACTAATCCACCAATTTATTTAGAGGAAATTCAGGTTTTGGTTACTTCGGTTTAGTTTAGTTGGTTTGGAAGAGAAAGTGAAGTAAGTACAGGATGAAATGATTTTTTGGTTTTTTTTGGGTGGAAAATGACTGGACCCTTGGTATTTTATACACAGTTTAGCTGAAAATCATTTACATTCGGTAATTTTATGTTTGATTCCGTTTAAATCTTGATAGGAGGATTTATAGCCAACTATAGTAACTTGTGTCATAAGAAAACTTTAAAAAATGCCAAGCTTCGTTATGGTATATATCAGAGCTCTGCAAGGTCAAATTAAACTATGATATGGTACTAAAAACAAAATTGCCATGCTTCGTTATGGTATCAGAGCTTCTGCCAATTCGGTTATTACACAATCTCTTTGGATGAAGAAAACCACAACGTGTGTTTAAATAAAATCTTAAATAAATCGAGTGACATAACTCAAAGTAAGCTTTGCTTAGCGGACTCTCTTGTCAAAATGAAATCAACTGCTTCCTCGACTGTGTCAACGACCTGAAAACGTTAAAACCGCTTTAACATGAACATCACCCGCTGCAATAATAATAAGCATCTAAAGGCTAACTAATGATGGTATTGTACTTTACCAGATCAGCAGGAAACTCCGCATGATTATCTTTCCCTTTGAAAACTCCGGTTCTTGTCAAGATTGAGAACCAAGGATTCCCGGCCTGTCACACAGATGAGCCAGTAGTTAAAGCCTTCAGGTAAGATAAGAGGAATGTTCTTCTCTACTCTGAGATAAAGACCACAAAACCTGTCGTGCGCCTCTGATGTCGATTTTAGGGTTGTCTCCGATCATATACAGTGTCCTGAAGTGGTTACTTCCTTGGTTTGAATGGGTACGAGTTGATGCAGCGATTTCTTTCAGAACATCTTCTGCGTTCTTGAACACGAACGGATTTGGTTTCCCAAAAGATGTGTACTCTAGAAGCTCATCATGGATTCTGCATATATATCCAAACACAACATGCAATATCTCGAATTTACCAAACGTCTAATTTATTATGCCTTTTACGACAAGTCTCATGTTTCCTAAAAGATGTGCAGTGTCAAATAGAAGACATGTGCTAGATTTGGACTATAACCTGTTGAAAATGGATTCTAACGCGATTCTAAAAGCTCCCATGCCAAGACGTTCAGTAGGAAACGCAGTCTGCCTTCAGTTCACAATGCATCAGTATCATATATGGTAAGTCAAAAGAATGGAGAAAAAAATGGATGGGATCAACAGAACCTGGTAGTCTAAATCGTCATTGGCAAAGTACAAATGAGGTTGAGGTCCAATTTCTTTCCCAGGAAGTCCTCCAGTTCGTAAAATGTCACAGAGGACCTGAGCGAAAGCATCGATCAGTTATTCGCTGTGTGCACAAAAAATTCTAAAGAAGCTCTGCTTTATGAGAAGTCGGTGATATGGCAACACACAAGGCAACTATGTTTTGCTGTCTTTACTATTATGTGTGCTTATAAGAATTGTTCCCATTCAAAAGAATGAAAGATAAACATCACTCTAGCAGATAAAGATGTGAATCGGGAATTTAATAAAAGCTCATGTAACTTGAACAGCAAAGGGGAATGATAACCTGGATGTCTCGGCTCCAATCAACAGGATCACTAACTATAAATGCTGCCTGAACTCTATCGGATAAAATATTTGTTCTTGATCTAGTTTCCTTGTGGCCGTCTTGCCCGGTCATCCATTTCTTATATGGGGCCAAAGGATCAATGTTGTCAAAGTAAGAGGAATATTCGTCCAATGAAATGACGTTTCTGAAAATCCATGAACATATATAATCACTTGAATAGAAGTCTGAAACAGAGACAAACGGAAATCACAAAAGTCAAGAAAGAGCCCTGAGCTTACTTGAAACCATAATTAGACATCACCGAGGCCGGTTCCCCTTTTCCAGCTGCAACAACGAGCTCATTTCCAAACCTGGTCCAAGGATTCATTAAACGATTTGCTGACCAAAAAAAGGAGTAGAAGTTGATACTTGATATAGTCGAAGCCTATGCGAGATCCGGATACTTGATATAGTACATCCGAAATTCCTTATACAATGGTTTGTGAGATTCAAGTGTCCTATGTGATTTGATTACCCATTTTGCAACCACTAAACTGCTTTTAGTTCTTGATATGCCAACTGATGAACAAACTGTCTTTTTATACTAGAGGTTGACATGTAAAGGGGAGAGATTTAATCTATGTAGCCTACCTATTCACTAGCTTCCGGAAAGGTGAATGTCCTTGTACCACCTGCACCACAAGAGAATGAATCAAAATACAAGTTACTCAAACTAACTTGTAACATATACAGAAAGAAAATAGAAAGGAAGTGATGTGACAAGGTTTTTCAACCTGCGACGGAGAAACATGAACACCTAATAATTGACTCATCTCAGAAGCCCGTTTAGATTCAGGCAGGCCACCTCCTGTCAGAACCAATGAAATCTCCAGATGAGAAAGAGCCACAACGAAAAGTGATAGTTAGCTAAATTCACCCCTTTGACCTTATTCTCAAAGACTATCCAAATGATTTTCAATGCTAACTATCTTTCTCACTTCTGTTTTCATTTTGTTTCGTACTAACTATCAAAATAAAACAGGATAAATATCCAACATTTACAGTTAATGGCTCACCATTAGTCAAGAATAAGAAAGGTATCTTCAAAGCACCTGCAAAAGAAGCAAAATAAAACTCAAAACTCATCATAGGCAGATACAACTCTACACAAATTTAGCACTTTTAGATTGATAACATGTTGAATAGATTACAATTAAACCCAGAAAAAAAAGAAGAAGCAGAGTAGCTTCGATGAATCAATCACGAAAGAGAGCTTGTGAAAGAACAAAGAACATACCGGAATCATCATAGAGTCGTCGGAGTGCGCCGGGGGAGCCGCCGACGGGAGAGGAGCCAAGGAGAATTACACCATCGATGTCGAATGCAATGCCATACGACGAGCTGTGTTTTTTGTCATAATCAGGAAGCGAGAGAGAGGCAATGAGCAAAAGCGTGACTCGCCGGAGACGATTAGAAACAAGTGACGTGGCAGCGGGAGAGAAGTACTAACCGATTCGATTCCGGTGAGAGGTTACAGAAGGAGCGAGACGTTGATCGGAGACTAAAATCTCGCCGCCGCAGCGAATTTCTCGCAAAGATTCGAAGATGATTCATTTTTACTCCGGCGAAGAAAAATTTGGGGAAAGGTTTATAATAATATCCTCTTGTCTTAGCCATATACTTCTATTTTATTCGATATTTGACCTCAAAGTTTGGCTAATTTCAGTTTCACCCTCTATAAAAATCGGACACGGTTAATTTCCGGTTTGATTAAGTAGCTATTAGCTAAACTATTAAATTTAAACCATCCAATAAAATTTAATAACAGGTAGACTTTTTCTATAAACAAATCACATTTACATTTAGTTTTGTTTTACAAAGATACATTCGTACCAGCCCAAACTTTATACAACACATCTTGATTGATTCTTCACAAGAATTAAAATCTAACGATTCGGTCCGGTTTATAATTTACAGAGCCAGAGATTAACCGGTATGTTCTGTTTCATATTTGTATTATACAAAATTTACAGCTGAATTTGACGATTCGGTCCGATCCGATCCTCTCAGGGAAAGGGATAGTCGTGGAAGATGAATACGGCAAGGAGATCAGCTTCTGCTCAGCCTCCTCTCTTGCTGTCTCCGTTGTAGTTGCTCTGTTTCCTTTGCGAGGTGATTGAAGTCGCCGATTTGACCAGATCGCGAGCGATCATGATCTTGATTCGGCTTCTCCTCGGAGAAGATCGGATCGAAGTCGTAGATCGGAGTAGATCGCGAGCGATCATGATCTTGATTCGGCCTCTCTTCGGAGGAAGAACAGTTCCGGAGCTGTTAGGAGGTGGAAACTCCATGATCGCAAAAATTAAAGGAAGGAATCAAAAGAGTGAAGCAGAGATGATGAGTTGGAATGTGATGTGATTAACAAAGCGTCGAGTGTGAAGATGATTAAATAGAGGCCCACGAGTCCGAGAAACAGAGAACAAGTCATTTACTTGCACAGCAAGCTAATTAGGGATAATTTGGTAAATCGAAGGAAAGTTAAAATTACGTGATTAATTAACATGTGGGATTACGTGTAGAGTTAGTGAAGAAGGTTTATGATCTGTTAGAAGGCGTGGTAATAGAGACACGTATCAGTTGTGATCACTCTCGTCAAGCGCTAAGCTCAGTCGTGTGACGGTGACTCGCCGGTAGATTTGATTTATTTGGAAACTTCTTGGAAAGACAGAGGATTTGTATCTATCTATTTGACAATTTAATAGTTAGCTATAAAAATATTTTTTTTGGGTAAACAAGTTAGCTATAAAATTTGTTTCCTCGGTTCCTCCTAGTAGATAAGTTTTATCGCGAAGTGTTATTATGATTAAGATATAGGAATGATAAGAGTCAATTGCATTTGCTAGTTTGATTAAGTCAATATTTAATCTTTTTTTTTCCTTTTGTTATCTTATCTTTTCATTGTAGCAAATAACGTTGAATTCGTCTTCCTATTTGTGAGGGAACTTATCAACCACTTTTTCCATGTTTTCCACTTCCTGTTTTGTAGGAGTTGATAACCTCCAATTTGCTTTTTCCCTATGTAATCAATGAAAAACAACAAAAATATGTAGTCTGAACTACCCAAAAGAAACTGTGTTTGAGTTCTTGTTCTTTAGCTTAATCAGGTTTAAGCTTTTGTGTTCTTACTCTGCTCTAAACTTTGATCGGGTTCAAGGTTTTGTTACTGATTATTCTTTCTTAATTGTTTTGGCTTTGATCGGGTTCAAAGCTTGCACTACAGGAAAAACAGGCTTTAATAGCGGCTGAAAATCGTTATCTAACGATATAATAGCGTTTAGTTAAGTGCTCTATCATCGTCCGCGATAATAAGTCTGGCACATTAGATAGCGGTTTTGGGCATTGCTATCGATTCAACATTAAATATACACGTTTTTGTCTGCAATCGTATATAATACAATAGCATTTGGATTTTGCTATTATTATATTCTCACAGCATTCTAGGTTGATAGCAGTTTCTTATTATGCTACACTTGTTCTTTCTTATTTAAGCTATGCTTGTTCTTGCGGCAAAAAAAAATAACATTTATTGATATTCAAAGTATTACAAAGACCAAAGTATTACAAAAGACCCAAATCACAAATATACACAAGTATATAATTAGAAGATAAATTTGGATGCAGTCACAACTTCCAATCAACAACAACTGTTGTACCTCCCAGATCATGAGTGTGCCATCAGATCCTCCACTAAATCTGAAATCACAAAAGAAAAAACTTTAGAGAATGATAGATCAACTTAGGCATGTATAAATTTGCTATTTTTCCATATCTCCAGAATTCTGAGCTTTTTCTCTTTGATTCTCCTTTACTTTGAATAACCTAATCATTGCTTCTGGCCTCAGCTCGTAAGAAATCACACAGCCTGTGACAAATCAGAATATGGTTAATAAAGTACTCGATTTGAGATTTAGAACTTAACTATTTAACTCATATACTTTGTAAAGTCCAAAAAGAGAAACAATCATGGATGGTGTTTGTTACCTTCTTGTACATGGCCTCGAAGAAATCCCTCACAAGTTGTCAACAACGTCCCCAAAAGATCCTGATGAAAATTGGGAAAACCAGTTTGGAAGAACATCTTGCAGTTTTCTTATTAAAGTTGAGAGCTTTCTTTCACCAATTCATATTGGAACTGAAATAGGAAAGAATATGAGAAAATGGAAGAAGCCGACTTACAACATCATCAGCTGAGCCCGTTTGATCATAGACTGCCCTTTTCACTTCATCACCGAGTATAGCTATCACTTTTGCAGCTGCTGAAATATCTCTTTAGCTTCCTGTCAAAAAAAAATGTAAGGAAATCAAGTTTCCCTGTAACTTTAAATGGACCTATAGAAAACTAAGAAAAAGCAAAGAAATAAAGAAAAGTAAAAAAAGGCCTTCAAGAGCAAGTGTGTTTAACTTCATCGTCCTTATTTTTATCAGGATGAAGCCTCAATGCAAACTTATGTATGCTTTCCGTATCTCCTATAGAGATGCAGTTGCTCCGACACCAAGAATCTTCAAGGAAAGACGGACTATTTTGTTTCATCAAATTCTTCTAATTATCCAATCAACCACCAGCAAAAGAAGGGGATTCTCTCTTACAATTCCAAAAATCAACAACGAAATTCAATACCAAAACGAAATCAAAACATTTTGGGGGTTAGGAAAAGCTTAGATCCACAAAACAACACCGTAAAAATTAGAATGGAGAGATACCTTGTAAAGAGGTTTTCCACTTGATCTCCCATCCTGAATCTGGAAGATCCGGTGACTTGAAGCCGGAGGAAGAAGAAATCCATGGAGAAATTGAGAGGTAATACCATACGACGTTTGGAGGCAGCGAGAGAGTGAGAAATCAAGAGAGAGAGAGAGAGGTCGGCGATAGACGGAACCGGCGGCCTCATGGCGAGACTGGGCAAGGTGGCAAGAGAGAAAGGAGCGTGAGATTAGGAGAAGGGTTAGGAATTTGAGGGGACCGGCGAGATAGAGTGAGAGCTCACGATGAGTCTGTGCGGCTAGAGAAAGGAGAGGAACGATTAGTTTTTTTTTAGAAAGACAAGCCGAATAATGAAAGAATGAAACTAGGTTTTTGACTTAAAAATTTTTGAGTAAAAAAATAGAGGAGGCGGGCTCTTAAAATATTTAACGCGCTCACTATGTTATAGCGTTTAATTGAGATATGTGCAACTAAAGAAATTAAAAAATTAGTGCATTTCATTATTTTGTTCAATGAACAAATTTATAGCGTTTACAGTTTTACATACGCTATATAAAAGTTAAGGTTAAATCAAACATAGCACAACTACATAAAACGCTATCTTCTAATGCTATTAATACCTAATATTCTTGTAGTGTTGGGACACCTAACAAGGAATGCCAAGTATGTAGTTGTACATTTTTCCGGTCGATTTGCTCATTGGTCACTTCAATTTTGCAAACTTCTTTAGTTTAGTATACATTTCCCATTTAGATTAACAGAACTGGGTAAGTTTTCTGTTTCTTAATTATTAAACCAAAAAATTATGAATATCAACCTATTTTAATACACCAAACCAGATGGTTAATACACTAGCTATAACTTAACAGGAAGCAGATAAGGTATTTATTATTCAAGAGATGTACACAAATTATAGCTGACTGACGAGACTAAAATTAAAAGCATCTCTAATGTATTATTTTATTCTTTTATTCCAAAATGGTATTGAGTTTATTCTTCACTGTATTAATTAGTCTATTATATATTTCAAACATATCTGTTTTTATTTTATTACAAAGACATTTGATTTATAAAATTTATGATTTGACTTTATTTTCTACGTTTGGGCAACATTTTAACGATGCTGGTGGATACAAAAACGATTACCATATTACAAAGTCACCAGTCACTGTTATGTTTAAATTTATTTTTTGTTGCTTATCTTTATAATTTGTAATAATATCTTTAATATGAAAAAGACCTGAAGTTTATGGTTTTTAAGAAGCTGATGCTGACATGCCGGTTGTTTTTCTCTGTTGACGCAATCCCTAATGTCATCGTCCGGGCTCTTTTAGATTTTCAGATAAAAGGTCAGTGTTAAATGTGGACAATATGCATGTGTGTATGGAGAATAAAATTAATCTGTCTTATAAACTTTACTTTGATTGTTAAGACTGTGGTTGGAAATCGGTGAGGCAGAGAGAGAGTACCATAATGACAATGTACATGGTAAAGAAAGAGTCCTTTAGAGGCCGCAACTGAATTTTAAAAAAGAAACAACTTATCAAATTAGACCACCAAATATAATTTCCAGAATGTTTATCAGCCCTGATTAGGCCACTAATTAAATTTATCCATAGTGTGAAATTTTACACAAGTATAAACTAATCTGAGGACCGAGGTTTATTGGATAGAATTCAATAAGATCCAATTAGTTTTCTTTTGTCGTTTTAGCATTTGGCCTATAAAAAAACTCGAGACTGGAGTTCTGTTATATGATCATTTAAATTTTCTTAGGACAGGAGAGATATAAGTGAAATAACCATATATTTGACTACTTGACTCAACATTTTGCTCAATTTTCTTATGACATTTGCTTACATTTTACTTGTGTTTTACTTTGTTTCTTATTATTTTCTTACATTCTGCCAAACCACAATTTCTTATTTCTAATTTTAAAATAACTATAACCTAATTCTGCAATATATTTTTGTCAGATGGAAGTGCAAATTTGTATATTTTAATAGGATAGAATATCAGTTCTTACCAATTTTTAAACTGTGTAGTTGTAAGCTCGAGACCCTATATTTTGTAAAGTAATGTTAGACTATTGAATATTATATGTGAATTTAAAAGTGAGTTTTATACTTATACATTGATTTAATTTGTCGACTCATGTCTGTAGTGTAGCTGCTTTGATCCGCTTATGAGGTTCTGCTATAAGATAAATGCTCAGATTGCTATGCCTCAGATTATTTTCTTACATTCAGATTGTTATAGCAGAACCTCGTAAGCGGATCAAAGCAGCTACACTACAGACATGGTTATCGATGCCTCAATTGATTCTTAACAGACATGTATCTCGTTGTTCATCATTTTCATTATTTGGGAATTGCTCTTTGGTATTCATGTTTTGATGCCTCAATTGATTCTCGTAATTTACACAATGCTTGTTCTTCAATTATTTATAAATTAGATTATATTATCAAATTCCTTATAGCTCTAGGTAATTATATTGGACTATTTTTTTCCTTTCGTTTGAAAAAAGAATGTGTAAGCAGATTCCTTTTCTTCAATAGCTTTGGATTAAATAACTAATCATCTTTATCTTAGTTCCTTTTCTTGTGAAATTTTACACAAGTATAAACTAATCTAACGACTGAGGTTTATTGGATAGAATTCAATTAGATACAATTAGTTTTCTTTTGTCGTTTTAGCATTTAGCCTATAATCTACTCGAGACTGGAGTTCTGTTATATGGTCATTTAAATTTTCTTAGGACAGGAGAGATATAAGTGCAATAACCATATATTTGACTACTTGACTCAACATTTTGCTCAATTTTCTTATGACATTTGCTTACATTTTACTTGTGTTTTACTTTTTTTCTTATTATTTTCTTACATTCTGCCAAACAAAAATTTCTTATTTCTAAATTTACAATAATTATTACCTAATTCTAGAGATCTACGTTATTAATGAAAGATCATTAAATTCGTTATATAATTTAATTTAGTGTTTTCCAAAAATGTGATATATAGAGTTAGAATTAATAATATTAAAATCTTCAGTTGAAAAAAATATGTGCCACAAATTTTAATATCAATAATTATGCCCAAGGAGATTAGGATCTATATGTCAAATTGGCGGCTACCGAACTCAGACACCTTGGCTGGTTCTTTCTCCTTGTAAAAAGCTTACGGTATTAGCTTTATGATTCATTAGTCAACTTAAGTAGCCTTGTAATTCCTTAAAACATAACTTTTTTTTATAAATTTTGATTCACTCAAGCAAGAATATAAAGAGAAAGGCATAATCATGGTTTAAAGTCTTGGAGGTAGCATTTTGCTTGTTCTGATTAGTTTCATTATCTTTTGTTTATGGAAGAAGAAATAGACAATTTGATAGATACCTATCTCTAGAACATGACAGAGGATATGGAACTGCCATAATGCCAATAATGGATTTGGAAATTATTTCCATGGCCAACTTCTTTGGGTTACTCTCCACTCATGGAAAAATTGACCATCAAGGCTCATAATTAGCTAATGAAAGAGACCTTACAATGCTCAAACGAGGATAAATTAAAGAAAAAGAAGATAGTTGAGAACGAGAAACTTAAAAAGCTTATGTCAAATAACCAATCTTCAAGCTCGCGTCTCCTTTTGGGTTAATAAGTGTTGTCAAAGTGACAGAAAAATCTAAGTGATTTCGGCTAGAATTAGGTTTTAGTTACAATAAGAGAAATGAAAGTTGTAATTGAGATGATAGGAATGTTTCCAAAGAGTGTTAATAGTGCGAGTGATGGCTATGTAACATCAAGCACCACATTTTCAATATAATTTATCAAGTTTGCAACGTTGTAAGCTAGCATACAAAGTAAAAAAAATGTAAGACGATAACCCGCTATGAACGGAAAAGTGATTCAACAGCCAAGTATGCTGCTTGGATCGCAAGAAACTGATCCGGCCATCATAGAGAACATATGTAAGTAGGTGTTACTTTCACTTTTTGCATGTTCTGACATTACCTAATCAAATTCTGACATTTTATCCACAATTGTCGTCAAGGAATTCAACAACAGGTTGGTAAATGTAATAAGTTAATGTCTCGTGTTTTTGTGGCCTTTTAAAAAAAATAAAAAATAAAATAAAATCTATTGCTAATATGGTCTTCTCTCCTTCATACATATTCTTCCCGTTATGACCATTTTCACAGTACACCTAAGTATTCCCATTAAGACACATGACTTGTCTCTTATTCATCAACATAAAACAAACGTTATAAGTTGTAGGTAGTATTAAGGGGATATATGGGACCATCTGATTGCAAAATGTTCAATGATGTGTTTGGTTTTTAACATCGACCGTTCAAAATGTTCATTCTAAGACTAGAGAAAAAACACAGTTGAACATGGTTGAAATTGCAAACACAAACTTAGAGAAAACTGAAGCAAATCATAGTGTGTCTCAGATTGAAACGTCTTTAGGATCCTGTTCTTCATCATCTTGGAGGTTTCTGTATCTGTAAAACCAAGAGCAGACAAGAAAATAACCGAAATTCAAGACTCCTCCAACGACTAAAAGCCAGTAAACGTTGTCAACTCTTCCACGGTTAATATCATCTGGTAACCACTTTGTAGTCCTCTGGATCAGATGGATCAAAGCTGTGCTCAGATAGAAAGAGATTCCAATCACCACCGAGGTTAATGACGTCGCGGTGTTCCTCAGAGACTCAGGGAATTCTTGATAGAATAACTCAATATTGCCCGGAAACTGGAAGGCCTCGCCTATTCCCACTATGAAAAGAGGAGGAAACAGCCATAGCACTGACATGGGATGCTCCGTTTGAGCTGCTTTCAGCCTCTTTGCTTCAACAACTGCAGAGACTGCCATGCTTAGGATGGTGAGAACATGGCCTATACCAACTTTTTGAAGCGGTGTTAGCCGCTTATGGGTTAGCTTCTGGTACATGGGATAGACAAGCCACTTGTTTATAATGATAAATGTGGAAGCAGATATGAGTATTATGACTTGGAGCGACCCGGCCGGGACTTTGAAGTGAGGACCGAGTCCACGGTCAGTAAGTAGAGCTTGGAGCACCATCAAGCTTGTTTGCATCACCATGGGAGTACTAACATAGATTATGGCTATCCACAGAGGAAGAACTCGAAGAATGGCTTTGAAATCTTCAACTTCTTGAACAGAGCATAGCCTCCATTTGTTATTAACCGAGCCGTCTTTCTCATTTGTGTCATCTTCGTTCTTTAACGCTGCACGATTCAAGAACCTGCACATGTAAAACTCTTTTTCAGCTATTTGTTTTAAATTTCATGAACTAGGGAAGCTTGTTGTTCTCACCTAAAGCTCTTGGAGAGCGTTAGAGCAGAAGTCTTGATCTCTTTTTCGATCCCACGGTGATAATTTTCCTCTTTGGATGAAACCACAGCCTTTCTTTTAGCTGTTGCAGCGACTAAGACACGGATCATGCTTGTGAAGGGACTTCCCATGGGTTTATCATGCTTGTAGAGTCTCTTCCCGCAGACAAAAACAATGAAACATACCAAATTAGCAGCCGCACAGAGACCAAACCCAAGCTCCCAGCTAACATTGTCCTGTGTGTAAACAATTCCTGTCGCACCGATAATCGCTCCAGCATATAGTGTGAGGAAGTACCAGTTGAAGAAGCTTCCTTGATCTTTAGGTTTCTCGTATTGGTTTGCACCAGCGGATGCCAAAGTGAACCGTGTGCCACCTGCTCCAGTGGTTACTAGAGCTAAGGCTGCATACAAGACACCTAGCTGGAGTCTAGATGGAGACTGGCATAGAATTGAACCTGTTTCACACGGTCTAGGCCTCAAGTAGTCCAAAGATGCGATCAGAGTCAAGAGAATGATGCCCTGAAAATGTTTAAAAAACTGTTGAGCTTTGTTTATTAATCAGGAGGAAATTAGTCATGAGCCTTGGACTTACAGACAGAGAAATGAAAGCAGAGGCTGAGATGACTGGAATGTTTCCGAAGAAAGAATCAGCTAAAATGGCTGCAACAACAGGCAACATGCTGAGACATCCATTGACAATGTTTGAAATCTGAGCAGCAGCGATGTTCTTGATGTTGAATTCCTCAATCAAGAAGACGATCAAGTTCATTACCCATCCAAAAGAAGTTATGGACAGACCTAACAACGTAGCTGCACCACATAGAAACCAAACCCCACAATCATCAACATTTTGGCTTCAAAAACAGAAGACAACCACACAAAAAAAAAAACACAAACCGATCATGAACGGAAAAGTGATCCAGCCACCGCGCTTGCTGCTCGGATCGCTAGAGCATTGCATTTCTGTATCACCAGCCATGGAAGAGAACAAGAGGAAGAAGTATTTACTTTGACTTGTGTTTGTTCTGCGTGATGATGCAGCGAGATAAAAGCCTTAAATTATATATAAGCGCAAATGCAGAGAAATTATGTTGGTGCAATCATTAGGTAATGATCTTGTTTTGGTCCCAAAAAATTACCTAACCATATTCTGACATTCCATCTACTGTTGTCGTTTCTCTATATCAGGTTGGTGAAAATGTAATAAACAACGAAAAAAAGGATTCGGTCAGATCTTCAATAGTAGGCTCCATTTTTCCTTATAATCCACTTTGAATAATCTTTATGTAAATTAATTATATGCTCACGAATTCACGAGACTCACGACAAACATAATGCGTTCAAGATTCGAAAGCGACTCAAGAGACTGGCCCAACCATTACAGAGCACTAAGCAAAAATTAAAAGACTGTATATATAACGTAATACAGAACAATTTTGTGCTAGTGAAATTGATTCTTCTGTCCAAAAGATACCTAACCCACTTTTGCACGATTGTGGATTAATCAAAAAAAGAATACTTTTTTTTATTTGTGCATATGTGAATAAGAGGGAAAGGATAATTAAAAGGAATATATATACTGTAAGTACCTAATTCAGTTGACACGTAAGTTTAATCAGTTTATTACTCTGTTTCATCAGGGAACTAAACATGAGAAAAAGGCCTGCCACAAAGTATTAGTCTTCTTTTTTTTCGATAAACCAAAGAAAATAATCAAAGTAAATATTTACATATATACTTGTTTTTATTTTTGATGTAAGAAGAGTTGAATAACTTCTTTAACTAAAAGAGTTGAATAACTTGGTGAAAAATATAAGAATGGCACACATCAAACTATAGGATAGATCTTGATTATTAATTATGAATCTTTTTGGTATTGAAAACTGAATGAGTTAAATGCTAATTATATAGGAATGTACTTGGGATGTCAAAAAGAAAAAGGAATGTACAGTACATTATAACTTCTATGAATTAATATTCGATAAATTAATACATTTTTAAGTTCTAAATTAATTTTTTAGACTGATTTTTATATCGATAAATTAATAATTCTATAAATTAATAAAATTTTACAGTTTCGACATTACTAATTTATGGAAGTTTTATTGTACTTGGTTTTCTGTCAGTATTTTTTACTAATTAAAATAACTCTCTAAAGTATTTTTTACCGAATTAAAGAATAAATAGGATCAGATAAAAACTCTTAAAATAGTATTCAGTTTTATATCCATTATAGGAATGACATACATTAAATTTATATCGTAATATACATCAGTTTGCTTATTGTAAACGTTTAATCAACTCTGCATATTAACATTTAATATAAATATAGAAATTTAACTATTCAAACAACTATAGTTTTTATATGTAAAGGCTAAAAGTTTTTAAGTAGACATCAGGGTTAAAAAAACATTATTTCCATTAAATTTTAGTTTCTGTTACTTTTCTTATTTTACTTTCTTCTATTTTAGTAAAATTTAGAAATTAATCCATATTATTTATAAATCTAGTAAATAATCACTCTAAAAAAATGATAGGATTCTAAAAACATAATTTTCATGATACTCTAGTTTTTGAATTTTCATGATATTCTATTTTAATAATTTTTATTTTAATAAACATAATTTTTTTTCTTTCAAAAATAATCATAAATAAGATAATTTATATTATTACATTTACACATGTCACGATCTAAAATAACAAATGATCCATGTTATGATATAATGAATTATAATTTTGTATATGTTACGTTCACATTTAGAAATTTAACTTTATATAAAAATACGATCTAAATCAATTTTAGATTTTGATTACAGTTTACAAAACGTAATTTTTAGACAATTAAATCTAGATTTTAATGTCAAATCTAATTCTAGTTCGCTATAAACAAAATGACTAATCATATCTCTTTTATCTATTAATTTGTACTATAAGGAGGTTTTTTCCTTAATTTTCTTCCTAAAAATTGAAATAAAACACGTTATATTGGAAAAATGTTATTGACTGAATTCTTATTCATTAAGTTATATTTTTTTATTATTAGGTTTTCTTCAAATTGCGGAACAAAAAAAAAATACTCGAATTTAATCAAACTAACTTCAGTTTGGTAAGATTTATTCATTAGTCTCTAGTTCTTCTGATATTTAATTTGATTAGATTATTTTATCTTGGACGCATATTTATCTTCCATAACAACAATTGGTTCTAGTACATATACCATACAAAAAACCAAAGTTACGACAAAGATCGTTGCAACCTAGGCGGCTAGGCCCTCTCTCACAGAACAGTACGGATCTTGTTTGAAACATAATAAGTCTTCCCTTACTCCATAATCTATTTATAAATAAAAATCATTAGACCAATATGTATATATGTATATTAAAAAATGACAAAACCATGACCATAATTAACGAAACATTACCTGGAGTACTAGCAGTTGTAGACTTGTAGTACGACAATGAACATAAGATACGAGGATGAGGACAACAAAAACAAATCCCATTAAAGTCTTCGTTGTGATAGCCATTTTTAAAATATTTTCATAATCTTTTTTATGAGTTTTTCTTTATTTAGATTGAATAATATATATAGAATAACAAAAACATACGTAAAACAAGAGGATTGTCTTGGTCAAAGATGATGAAAAAGTATATAATTAATTAATATTTTCTTTATTTCCATATATATACAGTATTCTAGTCAAAAGAAAAAGAAGGTTTTGTTATAACAAAACTTGATTTTGAATACAAAAGTAGACCTCTGAAAAAACATTTGACAGAAATAACCTAAAAGGATAATAAAAAGACCATTTAATCCTGTATGAGTAAACAAAAAACGAATGTCCTAATTACCGTTTACACCCTTACGAAGTCTACTAAAGTGAAAATGAAGTCTACTAGTAGACTTCGTTTATCAAAATGAAGTCTACTAAGTAATTAAATCTGGAAATTTAATTTTAAAATTTAGAAAAAATTATTTTGGTATCAAAATTACATTCAGAAATTCCGTAATTATAACCTAAATATACATAAATTATTTTTTCATATTGATAAATGGAAATTTATGTTTTTAAATTAAGAAGAAGAAAATTTATTATTTAGGATTTAAACTTAGTAGATTTCAATATGGAAGTCTGCTAAACCGAAAAAAATAATTTAACCAAAAATTGAACCGAAAAAAAAGAATTTAACCAAATTTTTTATGCCATTATATAAAGAAAATAACCCTAATTTTGTAAAATGAAACCTTCCTCTTTCTATAACGGCACTGTGCTCCACTCTCTCTGGCCTTTCTCCGCTGCCTTTTCTGTTCGTCTCTGCTGCTGCGTCTACTTATCTGCAAGCTCATCTTCAAAAAGTGGTATCTTTCTCTCTATTTCTCCCTTTCACCCGAAATCTCGATTTTTTTCTTTCTTTTTTATGCGTAGCATCTCATTCTGTTTTAGATCTGATTATTATTCCTAGTTTTCTTTCTATCGTCTCAATCTGTAATCTATAGATCTCGATTTAGATTATCTTTTTAGTTTTTTCAATGATAGATCTTATTGTTGAATCGTTGGCTAAGCTCTTTTCCAACTAAAATATTTTATTAAAATGACTTTGGTTATAGAAAATTGAAAGAAACGACACAAAAAAAAAAAGAATTTGGTTACAGACGACAAGATTGATTCAAACTTTTTGGTTTTGTTGGTAAACAGGCAAAACCTTAGACAGTGGAGAACGTGTGTGAAGCCGTCAAAAGCCAACTCTCACTTAAAGATGGCGAGACATTTTTGGCTGGGGGTGAGCAACATGAATCTCTGTTCTTGGTCGTCTTCTTCCTCCTTTCCGTCCTTTTTTTCTTTTTCTGGCTCCTGTTTTTTATTTCTCAGGTGAAAGCTCTCCTCTAACGGCGTTTCGTGTCGGTCCCTGTTCTCCTTAGCGGCTTTGATTCTCCGGTGACTCAAGGTGGATGCTCTATGCGGAACCAGATCTGGTGAGGACAAGGTCTGGTGACACTTCCTCAAGAGTTTGAAGCTGGCGGTTTCATGGCGGCTCCTCCGTCTTGGGTATTTCTCAGATCTGGCTGGCGTTCGGGTGTGTGGATGCATATCGGCGGCTGTGTGAGGCGGTGAGGAGGAGTTTTGGTGTGCTTGAACTGTCGGTGACCTTCGAGTAAGCCTGCTTCTTGAGGGCGGTGGTGGGTCGTGAAAGGGGTCTCGGCGGCGGCTGACTACGGCGACGGATGGCTGTTTTAGGTCGGTGGCTCTCTTCTAGGTGGCAGGTGGCTCCGGCGGCTAGGGTTTCCTTTCACTCTGTTTGTTTTTTGTTTTGGGCTTTCTTCCTTTTGGCTCATTGCCTGGCCCATTAGTGGTTTTCGGGTTGGGCTTTTTTCTTTTTTTTTTCTTTTATTGTTTTTTTTGTCTTTTTTTCTTATTGCATCTTTTGTATATGTACAAAAAAAATAAAAAATCCTAAAAATTTCGATATGAAAACCTTAAAAAAAAAAAAAAGACAATTTTGGGACCAAATTTTTTCCAGCTGTTTCTATTTAACTTTTATACAAAACATAGAATTTTACTGTTATCAGATTGTTCTTATGGTTTTGCTGAATAACATAGAATTTTGCTTTTATCAGATTGTTCTTCTGGAAATTTTTGTAAGTTATACTTATAATACATAAACGTATTAAACTCATAAGTAATTTTGTAAAAAAACATAAAAATCACATTAGCAAACGTAATTACAGCACAATATAGCAAACACATAAATATCAAAAAACTTTACACAGGAAATTTCGTTTCAAGACTTCGTAGACTCCAAATGAAGTCTAATTTTATAAGATAACTAGTTTATAAATCAAAATATTCGATTCCACAATTGATATCGACTTAAATCAAATGAAAATCATTGAGTAGTTCAACCACTTGCTAACACGCATGTCAAAACCTAAAAATTAAAAAAAAATATGATAAATATTTAAGATATGTGTTTTTAAAATAAATACAAAAAATAGACTTCGTAATTAGACTTCCTTAGTAGACTTCAGAAGAAGTCTACTGAAGTCTACTTTGATAAGCTAAGTAGCTTAAAAATCGAAACTTCTGATTCAACAATAAATATCGAATGAAATAAAATTCATTGGATAGTTCAATCACTTACTAAGAAGCAATTCTAATCCAAAAAATTTAAAAAAATACTTTATAAATTTGCCGAAAACGCGTTTTTTAAAAAATTGCAATAAGTAGACTTCTAAAGAAGACTTCAAACGTAGACTGGAGGAGAAGTCTACTTTTTCATAGTGAAGTCTACTAAAAAAGTCTACTAAAAAACAGGTTATTTTTGCAATTGACTAATTCGTTGACTTTTCCTTCAGTAGACTTCAGAAGTAGACTTCCGGCCAAAAAGGTTACTTTAGCATTTGACCAAGCCATTAACTAACAAAGCAGACTTCTATTGTAGACTTCATGTAAGAGTAGACTTCTCTGACAGTCTACTTTTGAAGTCTACTTTTTCAATAGAAGTCTACGGAAAAAAATAGATTATTTTTGCAATTGACTATCTTTAGTAGACTTCACTGTGAAGTCTACTAAAAAAAAAGATTCATTCTAAGTTTGACCGAAAAATATAAGTAGACTTCCCAAAGAAGTCTACTGTTTTTAGACTTCTTTCTGAAGTCTACTGCAGCTTTCCGGAGTTTTCTGAATTTTTTATTTTTTAAAAAACTTTAGTCAAACACTAAAATGACCTATATGTTTTTGGTCAAACTACAAAAGTAACTTAAAAGTAGACTTCTCGTGCAGATGTAAACAGTAGACTTTAGAAAGAAGTCTACATTAAAAATTCAAAATACGGTCAACTACAAAAATAAACTTTTTTGTTTCGTAGACTTCTTAAGCCTTCAAATGAAGTCTACTATGCTTTTTTTTGTTTTCAAAGGATATCGAGTAGACTTCTCGTGGGGTTTAATGAAGTCTACTTTTAAAAATTCAATTGCAAAAATAACCTTATGTTGACTAGTAGACTTCAGTATACTTCACGAGAAGTCTACTTTCGCGATATGAAAACTAAATATGGAGAAATTGAAGTGCGACGATTACTTTTTACAAAATTGAGCTCGGCTACAGTTCTTTTAAGCACCCAGAACTCAGGATTTCACCAAAAATAAGCAACCCAGATGTCAAGTAACCAAAAATCACCGAAAATGCATGAATTTTGGCATTGTAACTTAGCCCAGATGTTTTGGAGAAGAAATTATGAAAGAATGAGGAAGGTTATGAGTGAATGAGCTCAAATATTTACTTATTACAGCTTTAAAATTGGTTGAGAAGCATTTATTCCATTGTCATGGTTGTTCATGGTGGTTGAAGAAATTGAAGAAGATGGCATTCTCGTAATTAAAAGGTCTTTAGAAGGTCCAAGGAGACTTTAGCCAAATTAAAGAAAAATCGAAACAATAGATATATAATGGTATTTTCGTTAATAGTTTAAGTGGGAAGGATAAAATTGTGAGAAAATGGCAAAAGTTGGAGAGAGAAAAAAGAGGTTAGTTTGGTGTTTGACTTTGAAATATGGGTTAAATCTGAAACTCTCCCAAAGAAAAGACACATATATATTTCCTTACCTACTAAATTTGTACGTTTGAACATATATAGGTGAGATAATATTACATTTAATGTTTAATGTATAGTTAAATATTTTCTTTTATCATATTTATTTAATTTTTTGAAATTGAATCTGCAAAATCTAGTGGTTGTAATTTGAAAATATTGGTAAGGATATTATATTATTAATTTTTATCCAATGTTCAAAATTTTGTTAGGTTTTAGTCAGACGGTCGAGGTAACAAAAACTAAAATCAGAGATTAATCGGGTATTAGATTTAACTTCTTAATATATATATATATTAACATGTTTATTCATTATAACTCATAATTTTGTTATAATATTGTGTTTAAAATTGTATAAAACACATAAAAACGAAGAACTGATGCAATACATTATAATTCTCATCAAATTTTAATCCGTTTAGCCGAGAAGTAATCGAATATCTACTTTATTGACCCAATTAGGCCTAAATTGGGGCAACAGTGTCATGCAATGCACCTTGAATGCCAATTTTTTTAACAGAAGTCTTATTAGATTCTAATTCATGCGTCCACACATGATTCATTGTTTTATAGACTAAATTATGATTGTCTTTAAATGTTTACGATCAAATATGTTGTAATTATAATTTCTAATCGTAAGTGAAAATTAATGAGTTTATTAATTTATTATAAGAAATATATTTTGATGTTTAGATATAACTCCAAATTAAGTATGTGGAATGTAGTTTTTTTAACTAACTTTTTGACATATGAAAAATGGGCAAAGTGTTTTTTCAATGTAAATCTTGAAATAGGCAAAATGAGAAATAAGATAAATTTAAATGTTATTGATTCAAATATGACGAGTTTTTGATTTTTAATTTTTCGTAAGAAGAGTATTGGTTTGTTCTTGTATTGGTCATTTTCCATCTAAATGCTTATGACCTGCTAATACAATGTTAGAAAAATTAGAGATTTTTCTAAATTTGGCACCAAACATGTAGGAAGCCAATTAAGTGGAACAGAAGAAGGAGTGAGTAGTAAAATGTTGCCGTTTAAAGAGTCTATTTGAGTGTGTATGTGTGTATGTTGTGTTAGAGGGATTGGATTAGAAATTGTGTTATGGTGATTTCATTGGCAATTGTTATTGTCTAATTAGATTTTCGAGTAAAATACAAATCCAAAATATTAAAAGATTCAAAGTGAGTTTAGAGATTATGAATATCTTAATGTTAATGTTGCAACGATGATTTCTAACGATGTGAAACAAAGATCATCTATATGATTGTGGTTAAAAGAGAGAGCTATGAAGTTTTTATAGGAATCGAGAGAAGTGAAGCACAACATAGTATAATCTAAATTACATCTGTACGCGTGGATTAAACTTAATGTTTAAAAAGACTTAATGTTTAAAAAGAAAACACAGAAATTTCTCTATTTATTTATGATTATGTAGAATTCTGTATGATATTAGGAAGGTCACTAATTTATGTGATTAAAAACCATTGTGTATATGCATGTATTCATCTAGTCTTATTATGTAAAGTTAGATCTCTCAACATGAGCGTGACATATAAACAAAATTATAACTCACGAGATCGTGATATGTGTTGTAGTTAATTAAAATCGCGATATGTCTCAAAATCATTTTCTTGTTTTTTTATTAAATTATAAATCAAAAAGATAAAATACAAAAAAAAATAGAAACTACAAAATCGGATAAATGTAAACTATCAAATCTATATAAAGTAAAGAATATATTTATTTCATTCATTTCGAAGGTAGTTTATGTGATGAATTAATTTTAAAACTTTTACTTGTAAATTATAATTTTTTTTTTCAGCAAATCAAATATATTGATATCATAAAAGGTTTACAAGATATAAAAACATTATTGATATAACCGTTAATGCAAATAGAGGAAATTAGAACAATTTCAATGAAAGAGTAGAGAGTAATCATGCTATCTTTTCGGAAATAGTTTTATAGGCTAACAGATAAAATCAGTTATGTCTTTTCTTCATACATATTTCATTGGCTATTATCTTGTTGATAAAACTCCAAAATGCACTTGGCATTATATTTACTAATAAAATTAAATTATATGTTGCTGATGATGAATCTGAAACTTGTCTCTTCTTTAAAAACAAAATACTTGATAATTTCGGCGCAGGCTCTCTGTGTTCATATTGGTTGATACTTTTAATTATAAATTTAATTAAAAATCAAAATTATATGGATTATAATTATGCAGATTAATTTAGATTTTAGATTTTATATTTTATCCACGTAACACGCAAGACCTGATCTAGTTAAACAATAAACAGTGTAGATTATGTGTTTTGACCAAAAAAAAAAAAAAGTGTAGATTATGTGTTCTTTTATCATCCTTTTGTGTTCATCAGTGGTTCCTTAAAACTACAAAGTAAAGAAAATATACATCTCGCTATAACAAATGATCATCTAAATCAAAATGGAAAACCCTAAAAAAAGTAAACTTTAGTAACAAAACGTAAAACTTGTCAAGGTTTTTTTATTGGTAACCGAAAACTTCTCAAGTTGCAAGATCGTAAGAAATTTACATTTGCTATATCAAAAGTGACCTAATTTCCATTTACCCAAAGTAAACGAAAAAAAGGAAATCCCGAAGACAAAAGTAAAGATTTATAATAAAAAAAAAGTAAAGATTTATTAGTAACAAAATGTAAAGTTTTCAAAGTTACAAGATAGCAATGGAAATTATACAAGACCGTAATGAAAATACAAAAATTAACAATTACGACAAAAAGTTCAAAATCTATCTATATATATACATGCATGAATGAATAGCGATGCAAAACATTGTGTCTCAAAGCCAAAAATACTATTCGATCGATCATCATGTCTCTTGCAGCCACAATGATCGTTCTTTCTCTTCTCTTTATCACCGTCACTGTCTCATCATCACCTCCCGGTGGCTTCACCATCGACTTAATCCACCGTCGCTCTAATTCCTCTTCTTCTCGACTCTCTAAGACTCAGCTCGGATCATCACCTTACGCCGACACTATCTTTGATACCTCCGAGTCCTCATATTATATGAAACTACAAATCGGTACACCTCCTGTCGAGATCGAAGCCCTCATAGACACCGGAAGTGAACTCATATGGACACAATGTATGCCTTGTATTAACTGCTTCGACCAACAAGGTCCCATGTTCGACCCTTCAAAATCCTCAACCTACAAAGAAAAAATATGTGACGGCCATTCTTGTCCTTATGACTTTATCTACGGAGACGGAAGCTATTCCATAGGCAACTATGCAACCGAGACGGTCACGATCCAATCCACTTCAGGCCAACCTTTCGTGATGCCTGAAACCACCTTTGGTTGTGGTAACAACAACTCAGGTTTCAGCTCAACCGGTTCAGGCATTGTTGGTTTAAGTTGGGCCTCGACGTCACTCATCTCTCAGTTGGGTGAAGACTACATAGGTCTTTTCTCTTACTGTTTTTCCGGTAAAGGAACTAGTAAGATCAACTTTGGAAGCAATGCTATCGTGGCAGGAGATGGTGTTGTAGCAACCACTATGTTTATAAAGAAGGAGCAACCAGGTTTCTATTACCTAAACCTAGACGCGGTCAGCGTTGGAGAGACCCGGATTGAAACATTAGGGACACCGTTTCACGCCTTGGACGGGAACATTGTCATAGACTCTGGAACCACTTTCACGTACTTGCCTGATAGCTACTGCAACAAAGTGAAGGAGGAAGTGGCAAACGTCGTGAAAGCAGAACAAGTAACTAACTCGGACGATATGCTTTGCTACACGTCAAAGACCGTAGATATCTTTCCGGTGATCACAATGCATTTCTCCAACGATGCAGATCTTGTCTTGGAGAAATACAATATGTTTGTGGATGTGGGAGGAGATGTCTTTTGTCTGGCGATTATGTGTTCTTCGATGACACAAGATGACGGTATAGCTATTTTTGGGAACAGAGCACAGAATAATTTCTTGGTTGGTTATGATTCTTCTTCTTCGGTGGTTTCTTTTATGCCCACTGATTGTTCTGCGTTGTGGAGTTAGAGAAACCAAACCTAGAGAGACTCTTTTTACATTATTGTTATTATTTGTTACAGTTTTAACTTTACTTTGTTTCTTTATATTTGTCCTTTTATTAAGAGCATTGAATATGAATTTATTTTAATCAGCAATATACGAATGAGTTACACAACATGCATCCAAAAATAATGTCGGAAGATTCAAAATTCAACCATAAACCACAATACTCTGAATTTTACCTAAGAAGAAAGCTCAAATTAATGGGAATGATGTGTTAGCCTCTCACAGCTTGAACCGTTGCAATCATGTGAGCCATGACGAGAGCATATCGAACAGCTGTGTGCTGAGGAGTGAAGGTGTCTGCAAGTCCAAACTCTCCGAAGTTAAGCTCTATGTTGACAAACTTACCAGGCAACGACCTTTTAGACAAAGCTTCATGCCATATCTCCAAGAACTCCTCCATCACTTTTCTTGCCTTTTCCATTGATGATATAGGAAGATACTCCACCTGAATAGATTAACACACTAAAACTAGTTAACAACCCAGCAAACTCTAAATTTAAGATAACAAGAAACAAGACAATCTGGATTCATCTACTAAATGTTCGAAAGATCACATAATGTATCTAAATATAGTAAATAGATCAAGGATGATCACCAATTGCTAATAGCTCCACACCCTTTTGGTGATCGATTACAATGTTAAGATTGAGATTACAAAGAAACAAGAACAATCTGGATTTCATCTTCGAAATGCATCAACACTGTTTAATCTTCATCATCTGTTTTAACATCGTAAATAACATCAACTAAGATAAAGTCCAATCTGAGATTACACACACAATACTAGTTACAACACACAAAAACTAGTTTCACACACAAAAACTAGTTACCCTTTTGGTGATTAATTACAATGTTAAGATTGAGACTACAAGACAAGACAAGAGCAATCTCTGGATTTCATCTTCTAACTGCATCAACATTGTTCAAAAGCTCACATCATCTATCTAAAACGTAGTAATAGCATCAAGGATCATCACCAAATGCGAATTGCTCCAAACACACCCTTTTGGTGACTGATTACAATGTTAAGATTGAGACTACAAAGAAACAAGAACAATCTGAAGAATTTCATCTTCTAAAATACTTCAACACTGTTCAATCTTCATCATCTATATTAACATTGCAAATAGGAATCAACTAAGATACAAAAGGCAAAATTTAGATTCATTACCTCCATAACTATTCCTCTAACATTCTCGGAATGAGTAGGAACAACTTTACCAACTCTCAGACGAAAATCACCAAGCTGATACTGAAACCCTTCAAAGTAAAGAGCGACTTTCGATTTGTAAGACTGAAGCTTCTCCATTATCAATTGAATCGACGAATCTGCTTCCAGGACGATCCTCTGCGACCTGATGATGAAATAGTACTTACTCGGCTGATCCGCTAGCGAAATCCCTAGAAAATCGCGCGGGAAATCCGCTTGATTCGCCTGGTCTGCTCCAAAAATTCACCCCAAAAATCTCAAGGATCAAACCGACGCAATGACGAAGAAGAAGAAGAAATTAGGAGGAGGAATCATCGGGAGACTAACCTCGTACCATGGGTTTGTAATAGTTGAGAGTGGCTTTCCATCTTCCTTCTTTGACGCCATTGATGCTCTCTACGCACTGTGTAGCTTCGTTGAGGATTTGGCTGCTCACTGTGGATCCTTGATTAGGTTGCCAATACAAAACCCTAGAAAAAATATACAGAGAGATTAGCGAGTGAAAGAAAAATCCGAAATTGAAGAAGAAGTGGAGCTTATGAATAATTCTTCTTTTTTTTTCTTCTGCAAATCATCAAAACGTACCATTTGACGGGCATTGTTCTTGAGAGGGAGACAGAAATGGCGGAGGAGCAAAGCACTGACCCGACAAAATAGCATCCGGTTTATCGGGTTTGTTCGGTTCTCAGTTTGTTGGAGCTCGGCAAAATCCAGCCGAAATAAACCGAACCAAAAAGTTCTGTTCTATTGGGTTCTAAAAATATTTTAACCAGAGGAATGTTCATCTAATTCGTAAGTATTTTGGCTGATTAATATCTTAAATATAAGTGCGAAATTAACGAATTAATTGCCAAATTATCATAAATTGGAAGGGCAATGATCAGAGCTGCCATAATTCAATCTAGATATCATAAGTAATGTGTAAATTCGAAAATACCCTTAATAAAAAGAAGTTGTGGTATTTTTAATTTTATCTCATTTTTCCTATTTTTCGAATTTTCGTTTTATTTTAATGGAAATTAATTATTAAATGAATTTCAATTTTTTATTTTATCCTCTCTCTCCTCCTCTCCTCTCCTCTCTTCTCTCCCCTCTCTTTCACGATTCCGAGAATTGAATCATTCGGATTTTAGCTCATTGAAATCCTGGAGCGAAATATCTGGCCGGGTTGAAGTAACCACTGCGTCGTTCTTATCTGCACTTGTCTTCGTCTTTTTCTAGCGTCCTGAAGCTCGATTCCAGAGTTATCAGGTAAGAAAAAAAATTTAGGAATTTAGAATTTAGAAGCTCGATTTGTGAAATCTTGGAGTTTGAGTATGCACATTGGATAATTTAAACACCTATACGGGTCGGTTAGTTGATTTTTTTTTTGAATCTAGCTGAATCGAGCTGAATATAGTTGAATCGAGCTGAATATAGTTGAATCGAGCTGAATTGTAGTTCTAGGTTAATGATGAATTGGGACAAGTGGTATAATTAGGACAGTTGAGATAATTGGTACAAATGGTACAACTAAGAGGGGTGGACAATTAGTACAAATTATAGTTATCGGACAACTGGTACAACATTATTATTGTAGATGTGGGACAACTGGTACAAATGGTACAAGTGAGAGAAAGCTGAGTATTGAGAACTGTTTTTTTGTATTTCCAGGAACTCCAGTAGAGGATGACGAGCCGCACAAACATACATTTTGATTATGGAGGGTATTACTCAGCAGGAGGAGAAGAGTTGAAATGGAATTCAAGAAATCCAATCTATGCTATATCATTTAGAGACTTATTTGTGGACGATTTAACATATTCAGTACTTGTTGATGGTATATGCAAGAAGATTGGGTTGAATAACAGTATGACGAAGCTGAGATTGACCTATATACCGTTGGTAGCTAAGCCTTGTAGGGAGTCATGTATTGTCGATGATGGTGATGTTTATGTTTATCTAACAACAGTGGATAAAGAAGGACTCAGATCTGTTCTGAATGTGGAGGTAGTAGAAGACTTGGAAAGGGAAAAGACAGGCGAGTTATGTGGGGAGCTTCCCAGAGCAGATAAAGTGGCTGAAATTGTAGAAGAAGCAGAGGGACAACAGGGACAACTGAAGATGATAGAGTATGTTGATTTAGGGGTATTACATGATGTTGATGTAATGGAAGAGAATGCGCCTGTTAGTGCGGGCCAATTGACTGATCACAAACCAGGAGAAGCAGAGGGACAACCAGGACAAGAGAAGCTGATAGAGAGTGTTGATTTAGGGGTATTACATGAAATTGCTGTACTGGATGAGAATTCGGTACAGGATGAGAATGAGGCGGACGAGGACGGCACGGAAGGTATGAATGAATATACAGATGAACATGATCATGTTGAGCCTCCACGGCCAACTCGGTTTGTTCTAGAATGGGAAGATGGCGCTGGTTTTGAAAAACATCAAGAATTTCGTTCAAAGGCGGCTTTGCGAGTTTTAGTAGATAGAGCTTTGCATAAGGGGTTTTGAGGTAAAAACTGTAAAGTCGGATCCTGGGAGACTCATACTCAAATGCCGTCAAGCTGAACATGGTTTTCCATGGTATCTACATGCTGTAAGGATGCAGGATTCTACTTATTTCAGTATTAGAGTGTATAGGAATATCCATACATGCCCTAGGGTTGTTGCAAGCACAATTCGAAATAAAAGGAAAGGCACACCACAAATAGTAGCAGATGTTTTGCGTGGGGTCTATCCAGGTGAAGTAGACACCCCTGCGCCTAAAGCTTTGTTCAAAGTTGTTCAAAATGAAGCTCACGTTAATGTGTCCTATTCTACTGCTTTGAGAGGGAAAAAACTAGCTATCAGTGAGGTGAGGGGCAGTCCTGAAGAAAGTTATCGCAAATTGTATTGTTATCTTTACATGTTGCAGCTTGTTAATCCTGGGACAGTAACAAGTGTGAAACTGGATGCCAAAAATAAATTCAAATATCTCTTTGTCGCTTTGGGCGCTAGTATTGAAGGGTTTAGAGCAATGAGAAAAGTCATAGTTGTGGATGCAACTTTTCTGAAGAGTGTTTATGGTGGTATGCTTGTTTTTGCCACAGGTCAGGACCCAAATCATCACCATTACCCCATTGCAATGGGTGTGATTGATAAGGAGAAAGATGCTAGTTGGTCTTGGTTTTTTGAAACACTGAAAACTGTAATACCTGATGATGAGGAGCTGGTTTTTATGAGTGACAGACATAAGAGCATTGTTAAGGCAGTCCAGGAGGTGTATCCTCTGTCTCAGCATGGATTTTGCGTTTGGCATTTGTCACAGAACGTGAGAGGGAAGGCTAGGGTCGGATGTAAGGATTTGTGTGCAGAAAAATTCAGAGAATGCACTCATAAATACACAGAAGTTGAGTTTGTAAGTGCATACGCAGAGTTTAGGAGGTGGTTTCCCAAAGCAGCTGAGTATTTAGATAACAATGTTCATCTTGAAAAATGGGCAAGATGTTACTTCAAAGGAGACAAGTACAACTTAGACACAAGCAATGCTTGTGAATCTATGAACAGTGTCTTCAAGAAGGCAAGGAGGTATGCCTTACTACCTTTGATTGATGCATACATAGAAAAAGTGTCTGAATGGTTCAACAAGCATAGGAAAGGCAGTGCTATTGCTTCAGACACGAAGAAATTGGTGCCATATGTGGAGAACCAGCTCCATAATCTATGTGCAATTGCAAATAGCTTATTTGTCACTGAGCTTAACCATTTTGAGCTTGAATACAGTGTGATTGGGAATGATGGGAAGAGTTATTTGGTCGATTTGTTAAGCAAAACTTGTACCTGCAGGTGCTTTGATATAGACAAGATTCCATGTGTTCATGCAATAGCCGCGGACATGGCACTGATGCGTAACCCCAACAGAAGGAGGGAGATACACCTCCATGAACTGTGCTCGAAATATTACAGGATTGACACATGGGCGTTAGCTTATTACAGAACCATTTATTTGGTTCCACATCAGTCAACATGGATTATTCCAGAAGAAATTGAAAAGTTAGTCATCTTGCCGCCAGACTACACAAAAAAATCAGGGAGAAAGCGAGACAAGCGCTACCCTTCAACCGGAGAAGCTCGCCGTAAACAAAGTAACAGGGCCAATCCAGGCATACATCTTGGTCGTTAGTTTGAACCGCTTAACACAGATGAAGATGAAGAAGGTGATAACCAAGGTGGTAACCCGAGTGAAGTTTAAATTTGCGATTTGTATTTCGTCTTTCTGTAAGGGACAACTGGTCGTTGAAATGATATTTGTATTTTCTGGGTTTAGCAGGACAACTGGACAACACGGTACAACTAATTCTTTTCAAATTTGGCCAATTAATGGGACAACTGGACAATACGGTACAACTAATTCTTTTCAAATTTGGCCAATTAATGGAACAACTGGACAACACGGTACAACTAATTCTTTTCAAATTTGGCCAATTAATAGGACAACTGGACAACACGGTACAACTAATTCTTTTCAAATCTGGCCAATTAATGGGACAACTGGACAACACGGTACAACTAATTCTTTTCAAATTTGGCCAATTAATGGGACAACTGGACAACACGGTACAACTAAGTGTTAATTTTGAAAAGTAAAAACTCTGGTCAACATAACGAATTCAACCTAACAAACCATAAAGAAGACATAGTTAACCTTTAAAATATATAAGAGACCAATAATAATGATAATGGACAATTACAAATTGGTTTAGTGAAAGAAAGTATGGGATTCTCATCAACAACCTCATATGCTACATGTAACTCTTTCATAATAGAACCATCTTGCAAGGGGAAAAACACAATTTAAATGATTTTGGGCAAATTGTATTGTCATCTAGTACTAAACGATTAGAATAAGTGAATAGTTAAAAGGAAAACTGTAAATTATAGATTTATGTCCAAGGACAATTAGAATAACCAAAATGGACAACTATGAACAATTTTGGACAACAGGACAAAGGGGTACAACTATGCACAGTTGTTTTCTGTTTAAGGGATGATGCAGCACATGGTCAACTAAAATGGCAGCGCCGACACATATGTTAAATATGTTAAATACTGCTTCGGGAGAAAAACTCCGCGTTTTGTTAAGTAGCCCCCTTTATAAAAAGATTAGGAAAGAGAAATTCAGAAGTTTTCCCCTAAATCGAAATCTAGGGTTTCGGCTTCTTAGGCGCGCCACATCCAAAAATGCCTAGTTACAGTTCGGATTCTTCCGAATCGAAGCACTCATGGGACAGTTCATATTATCGAGCTGATGGAGAAGATGGTATGCGAGAAACGTGCTGGTGTGGCCGCCTTATGGTGATCAAGGAATCGAAATCTGAAGCCACAAGAGGAAGGAAAATGTACACTTGTCCAGATTGGCCGATTGAGGTAATAACTTTTGGAGTTCTGGGTTTAAGTTTAGGTCTTGGTTGAATTGGTTTAGGTTTAGTTTCAATTCTCGCGATTTCGATTTTAGGGCTTCGGGAAATCTAACTAATTGGAAGTTCATCGCATCGTTACTAAGGGACCTCATCGCAATCATGACCACATTTGGAAGTGGTGGGACGATGCTGTTCAAGAAGAGTTATCATTGCTGAAACTTCGAGTTGATAATGTCAATTCTGGGATGAAGAGCATGCAAAACATGGGTGTTGTCAGAAACTGCATTCACGACAATAGCTCCTTTGACACACATG